ATGTAACGTGGTTTAATTGTGCCTCATTGTCATGATATTGGTCAAATAAAGGCATCAGTGAAACTGCAGCCCCTAAAAAGCAAGCCTGAAACCTTATTTTTATCTCTAAACTTTTCATTAACTGTTACCCTGCTTATTGTAAGCAAAACTATGGAAATAAGCTAACGCTAAGTCACTGTCGTCATTACACCGTGAACGTCGGACACTTTAGCAGGTATTTCATTCACTGCAAACTTATCTTTACTGTTGTGTGTTAAAACATCAGCTAGAGAAACTTACTTTACCTGCAGAAAGTTGGAAGCTCAGTGACTCCACTGTGCAGCAGAGAGACTGCCTCTTCAATGTGACACGTTCCGCCTGCTGAAGCAGGGCCGTAACTAAGCTTTTCAGGGGCCTCAGATTATATTTAACATGATATGTTTTTGGTAAACAAATATTTACTTTAAAGGTTGTATTGGGCTTTTGAACTAAAAAACATTTAGTAATTACAAATGTTTTAGAAACATAAAAGTATGAGGGCTGCTGGGGGGTGGGGCTGGGGCAAGGCTCTACAACAGGGGGGGCAGTTGTCCCCCTGTAGATCCGCCCCTGCCTCAACCCTTCAGCCAGCCTTTCAACTGAACCTTCTTCTTTTTCGGCTACAGTATTAACACTGAATCTCTGTATAAATCCACAACAATTGTCCAATCATTTGAGAGTAGAGATCACCATTGGATTAGTTATTCCTCTTCTCACCGATTTGCAACAGGCTTGTTGCTTGCATTAATTTTGGATTGATTAGGACAGTTTAATATTAAATCACGTAAATATTTAAAAATATCTCTTCTGCCTTTTGTGAAGATTATACAAAACGATTGACGGTTTTATACCCAAAATTCTTAAAACCGTGCCACCGTTTTGATTATYGTTATCCTTATGTTTTTTTTTAAAAAATAGTCAAATAATACAGGAGTTACAGTGATAATTTAGTGTTATTTCTCCTCACCGTGAACAAAGTAGCCCTGCTCCTGCCAGATAAGAAAGGCATCACCCAGAGCTGAAAAGATCAGTCCAGCCAGGATCTTACGGGCGCTGGAGTGATCACAGAGGAAGCTGAATCCATGAGCCAGCAGGAATACCCACAAGCAGAAGATGGGCAGACATTTGATGAGGGCACTGAACCAGGACGGGCTCGAGGTGGGCAGCCACAGGACGAAGTATACACACGTCGACTTGAAGAATGGCACCAGTTTAGGGCCTTCACTTTTGACCTGGAAACAAATGTAGCATTTACATAATCAGCTGAGTCATGGCAGCTATTGCTGCTGTCGCTCACCATCAGTTAGAAGGTATTTTATCTGAAGGCTGAGTGCAAGAAATGAATTACAGACATATCTGTGAAGAACACAAATGAACATTATGAACTTAAAACCAAAGAGCAAACRTCTGTTGGTTTGTGTGGTCATCAGTGTATGGACAGTAGACAAGCACGTGTCTCGTGGCCTAAAAAAATGTTGTGGAAGCGGAAAGAAAATGTTGCTTTGATTCCAAGTAACCTTTTGTTTCTTTAGACATTTGCAAAATGTTGTTCTTTCTTTCCTCTTCTGCTTATTCACTGACGTTATTGAGAAGTGTGTAGCTTATCCAGGCTCAAGTTCTAATTTCCTACGGTGCCACCAGACAGATTTATTTCTGTGAAAATAGACGAGGCCCTGAGGAGTTGGGCACGAAATCACATAAAGAATCAACCTAACAAAGGTTCTGACAGAAAGTCTTTGGAAAACAGCAGACGGGAAAAAGGTTAAACTGGGAGGAGGAACTGAGTGAGGGTTCACTGGAGTTTAGATAACTGGTGGAAAGGTAAAGAGGACAAACGTGAAACAAATGTAACAGAAAGAAGGAAAAGAGCAGCAGGAAGATATATGTACAGAAAGAGCAGATTAAACGCTCGCCATTCTTCTCCTGTAGGTAAATTAATTTAGCTGACAGATTTATGAGTGGAAAGACATGGGGGTAAAGTAGAGGTGAGGAGAGGAACACAAAATAGGAAAGGCATTATGAATTACAGAATGAAGTACCATATCTGAGCCGTCTGGTGTAAATGTGATACAGGAACAACAGGAAACCAACAAGGATCTGACACACAAGTAACTCTCAGCYACAACATGCTGAGATCTACCTGAGCTGTCTCTTGGTTCTGCTGCTATAATCTTAAACTGCTGGAGGACAAACTAACCACAAATCCTCCCTTTGCCACCTTTAATTTTTCTACTTTTCATGATTATACATGCAATAACTGCAGTCATTAGCCTGCGCTTTTTTTTCCTTCTTCTTACCTGAACCAATTCGTCTGTGTTTGTTTGTCTTTCTCTTTCCTATCTCTGCTAGTCCAGGCCACCCATCCTGAGCCTGGTTCTGCTGGAGGTTTCTTCCTGTCGAGCGGGGTCGATCCTTTCTACTGTCACCTTCATGCTGCTCAGGATCTGAAGATTCAATGCAATGTTCTGTTTTCCTTAGAGAGATAAGGCTTACTAACTGRTATTCTAATGAACTTTGTGTGAATGTATTGAATTATATGAATGAATTGACTGCAATTGGATTTAAATCTGGATTTGAATTGGATTTATAATCTGATTACCATCTGTTGAGAATTGGTGCTAAAAATATACAGCAAAAGCGGCACAGTGGCTGTGTCCAAAACGGCAGGCTGGGTCCTCCGAAGGCCGAATTCGTCGGCCGCATACGTCACAGCGCCGTGACGAAGGACGTCCCAAACCGAAGACTCCTCCGATGCGGCCGACAAATATGTCCTTCCTTTTCCCCGATTTGAAGTACTGGTCTGATGGATCCTTTCCGGCCCAGCATATCCCATAATGCATTGCGGCCGACCGGAGATTTTTTTAAGCTAGTAATGGTGGACGAAGCAAGAGAAAAGAATATGTTTTAAATAAAAAAATATGGCGATAAAAAAATTAAAAAATTTTAGCGGTTGCAATTCTAATACTTTTATCATTTGTATGGACATGTTTTTAAATATTATTTTTATCATAAAAAAACGCGAAATAAACATGCACCTACAGCGGGTCAATTAGTTCTTCAAATGTTCCCTTTAAGTTAATTTTATTGTTTTGTGATATTAATAATGCTAATATATCGATATTTTTCTAATTTTGATCTATTTTTGCTTCTGTTTAGCATCGTCATGGTTGCTAGGTGACATGACGTACGCCAGGTTGGAGGGGAGGCTAGACCGTCCAAATTCACAGCCTCTTTTTTTCTGGTCTTCCCAGTCTACCAAGGACCCGGCCCACCTCGACAGGGCAGTCTGGGTCCTCCAGAGGACCTGGCCTGTCGTTTTGGACAAAGCCATCGGCTCAGTTGTAGCCTCCCAGCTAAAAGGTTGCCAGATGAATCTCGGGTAGGGTTTACATGTTCTCTCTGTGCATGTGTGAGTTTTCTCCGGGTATTCCAGTKTCTACAAATAGACCAAAAACATGAACGTTAGTTTAACTGRTAACTCTAAATTATCCCTAGGTGTRAGTGTGAATGGTTGTTTGTCTMGTTTGTCTCTATGTGGCCCTGAATGGACTTGCAACCTATCCAGAGTGTCCCCCCTGCCCCTCCCACRGTGACTGCTGGAGATGGGAACCAGCGACCCCCATTACCCTGAAAGGAAGAAGCAGGTAAAAGATAATGGATTGATGAATGGTAAATATAATGAACTGACTTCAAAATCAAACTGAAATCATCCAGTGTGGGTTTGATGAATGTTTAAAATATATAATCCTTTTAAAATGTTCCTCTAAAACTAAAAAGAAACCTGAAACATTAACCCAAATGGCCTCTGACAAGACTATTTTCTCATTTGATTCACACAAATAAATACCGTCTCTGCCTTTTTTTTTTTTCAAAGATTTGTTTTTTGCAAACATAAAATGTGATTTGTTTCCCCTTAACCAGCTTTAGCCAACTGTCAAATTAACCTTACAAATGCATGTTTGGTGATGTTTATTGAGAAAGAAATAAAAAAAACCTTGAGAGTTCTGCTTCTGTTTTCATTTAAAACACTGTCAGATTTCTCTCCTTGCGTCAGCAGCATGAGAGGAATTTTTTTATTTGGGTCTAAACTGAAGCAACGTTCATAATGTGAACCGACGCACTTTGCCTTACTGTTCTAGCGAGTTCATGCTGAGCCTGTCTATCATGTTAAGGCCCAGTGGGCACCAAGCAGAGGAGAAAACACTGACAACCATCTGACACTGGTCATTATCACCACTATGTTTATCATACAGATGGCTGCAAGAAATCCTAACAACTCCATGTTGCACTGTTAGAATTTCAAGTTCATCACTGCAGACATGGGGTATCTTTTACTAGATAGTATTCAGAAGATATATTTGACACGAGATCTGCTCTGAAGGCCAGGTTAAGGATAGTGTGACGGCTTATTGCAAAAAAGAACTAAATGAAGAGGATGTTTTAAGAAATGAATACACAAAGTCACAGATTTTTCCACAACTTTTGATCATTTCCTGTGTTTTATGCTGCCATTTTATGTTGTTTCACAAGTGTGTTCTTAGAAGTTGTGCCGATAGTTTCGCAATTTTTTTTCTTTTTGATTTTTCTACCTGGATTACTGACATGCATCAGGACTAGTTTTGCTATTTTGTCTCCTATGTTAGTTAAGCAAAATCCACTTTTTTTATACATTTTGTTGTGTACTGTGTAGTCTCTCCTGGTGCCGTATCTTTATAATGTGAAATGCTGCCTTTGGATTTCAAAAGACAGCCTCAAAACGAGTTGCTTTGAGACACACCTCAGAAAAGGTGAAAGAGGGGCTTGTGGAGTTACAGTAAGGAGAAATTTAGACCAAAGCATTGCAGTTTCACTTTATATAGACCCCACTGAATGATTTAAAAACATAAGTTTTAACATAACAGGTGTAGGAGAAAGGCTACGCCTGAACCTCATCTCACCAGGCAAGCCTTCCTGTGGCTGGTTCACCCTTTCTCACATCCACCCTCCATTCCCCTCATCGGTTCTTCCATATCTCATCACATCCACTCATCCATCACCCCTACCCCCCTTCATCCCTCTGATCCTCCTCACCTCTTGCCATCACTTTCACTTAACTCAACTCCTTTCAGGATGGCTTCACGCTGCGCGCCCAAGGCTTGTCCGATTCAATTAGATCCAACTTTATGCAGTCCGATCCACCTTCATCGCTTTATTCTTCATTCCTACCATCAATCACTTTACGTCTAGTGGGGTCTGAAGCCGGCCTGGATGTTTGCCCAAAGAGATGAAACCTCCTTCCCTGCCACCAAACAGGAAACTCAACCGTCAGATCGACTTAATCTCTCTCATTTGCTTAACTTTAATAAACCTATAAACTAGTTTTGATGCAGCAATAAGGAAAATATTAACTTTGCGTTTGATTATTACTGCTGTTAATTGTCACATCACTAACCAGCAGGGTTCATGCAGGTTTCAGTAAGTTAAATTTAAGACCTTTTACCTTTTAAGACCATTAGGAATGACATTTAAGACCAATCTGACGCGTTAACAGAAACATTCAAATGGTCCCAGAAATTTTAACATAGAAACCTTTTATTGCTACCAATTTAGCTATAAAAGAATATCTAATTTAGAACACCAAATTATTTTTAATCAAATGTTCACATCTATGAGACCTTCATACGGACTGCTGTGGAGCAATTCCAAAGTGAAAAAATCACTGACATCCAGTCAAGTCTCATTGAAAACACACTTTCCATGTTTAAACGACAAGCAGTGGACATGACTGAACTTCTTTGTTTTTTGGGTGGGTGAACTAACTGTAAGTAAGGGGTTGTAGCAGCAAAGAGGTTGAAAACAAAAGGAAACTGTGCCAATTTTTGCCTGCAGTTATCACAGGACTTTGTAGTTTAACCATGACCGATAGGAAATTAAGCCCTTCAAAAAGACAGATCCAGTCGACCTCTGATTGTGGCACTTTTTGCTGTTTATTTATGCAGCCAACACTTCTTGGGAATGATCGAAATTAAAAAAAATTAAGGCATGACAAAGTTAAATTTAAGACCTTGGATGAAAATCTGGGTATTTTAAAAACTTTTTTAGGCCTAAAATTTTGATTTTCATATTTTAGACATTTTTWGACTTTTTAAGACACGGCATGAACCCTGTAAGCAACAGTCACGGTTCCTATGTTTCATTAAGAGAAAATAAATTAAAAACAAGACAGCAGATGATTGTTTGTTAAAAAAAACAATTAAGGCCTAAATCCTAATCTGCTCTTCTGTAGTGTTTTCTCTCTCTCAGGGTCAGCCTCACTCTCCAACTCAGAGAACAGGACAGGATGTACAGAGTGGCAGCTCAGTAGGACCTCAGTCCACCGTCCCCAGAGTAAAGAAAGAGAACACAGTATCTGAGAGGTGGAAAAATGAATCACTTTGTTATCAGTTAGCTGCCGGCTGGACGACATGGCAAATAAAGTTTGTTTGCAATGTTCCTCGTCACATTTTCCTCGCTGTAAACGCCTATTAAACCATAATAAAGTTAATGATTGGCTGCATGGCTAAAGCAAACCCATTTTGTTGAAGTGAACAACAAGACGGAGTGACCTCATTTCTTTCAAGTCCAAATATTTTCAGCAAAGCCATTTTCCAGCATGTTWAGTTCTTGTAGCCACACTGCGCTACATATTTATCCAGACATTAAAAAAAGATTYATTCTCATTCTAAGTAGTCAAACAYAATACAGCTAAGAGCACAACTATTCATCCACTGTGGGTCTGAAACACGACACCCAGAAATATTTAAAGACCCGTAAAGGCTTGCGTACCCAACCAGGTGGAAGAACGCTGTAACATAAGCACGGTCCAGGCAGACACAGCTACCATGTTGGTCATATGACAACAGCAGTTTCATGTAGCACCAAACAAAACCTCCCAGCTGCATTAACCCAAGGATAAATTTAGGTCATCTGCAGAGATAAATGTTTTTCACTAAAGGAACATTRCAGTAAACTACTTAGATACTTTAATAAATGTAAAAGTCTGCAGTGGTATGGAATTTTATTAACATAAGCAGTCTGTGCCACAGCAAACACCGGTGAACAAAAATATTTATCCTGCCAGTTTCAGAGTTTACCAATTTCCCGAGACTGTATCGATATTCTAAAGCCCTGTATCGATTTTTTTTATTAAGGTTTAAAATGTCAACTTACCTGCCAGCCGTTCATTTTTATGTTGTAGTTCAGCCTCTGACCACTAGTTGGCAGCAGTGAGCCAGCCATTTGGCTACTCTACCTCTTTAGGTAAAGGCTATTCTTGGGTGACCATTTTGTAAATTGTAAACTATTTATTGTCAACTTTAGTCTAATAATTGAAAACATGGATGAAATAAAAAATATGAAACAAATAAAATAAAACACATACAAAGCAGAACACAGCTAAATGTATCAAAAGTATGTCTATGTAATATTACAATTTTCTGAGACAATGAATTTTGTTTTTTCATTTTTTTCCCCTGTAAGAGGTTTTTATTTAATAGAATTTTTTGGACAAAAAAATCGCAATATATCGCGATATATCGCCTTGCTTACAGTATCGCAATATATCGGGATATWTCGTATCGTGACCCCTCTGTCATGATATGTATCGTATCACCAAATTCTTGCCAATACACAGCCCTAAAAAACACGGCCAATTATTTTACAGGACCCCCATGAAGGGTATCACAAAGTATGATGCTTTTAAATCCTTCTTTTTCACATTTTAATCGTTCAGTTGGGGTCTACATAAAGTGGAATTGCAACGCTTTGGTCTGAGTTCCTCCTCAGCCTCTTAGAGACTCCAAGGACTCAACAAAAATGCATTTAACAGCTTAAAAAAACCCAGATTTTGCATGATACGTCCCCTTTAAGATCAAGCGTTTCTTGAAGGAATGAACGTTGCCTGCTGCCTTTCATTCCAGAGGTTTAAACTAATATCATCTTACGCAGAGGAATGACAAAGTCATGGCTGTTTTGGTCAAACCTAAAAAAAAAGCGTGCACGATCTCATACGAGATGTCCTCTGCAAATGACTCTCAGCTACTACCACTTAAAACTAAATATGGACACAAGTGACTAGGTTGTAGCTATTTTGTGTTGGCTAAGGTGGATGACAGACATAAACACACAGAGATGGGCAAAAGGTATTGCTCACTTTTTWGCCCCCYTTTTTWAAGAGGGGAAATAAAACAGTTGTAAAGTCTTCATATGACCTTTACATGCTTTTTACCCTGCAGCCCCGATGTCCTGAATATACACGCACAAATCCTGGACCTGCCCAGCATCCTCATCACTGAGGCAACCAGTCTGTGTGGCAGCATTCTTCCACACTGGCTCCTCTCAGATCACTATTTCACCACACTCCCCCCATCCTTCCAGCCTCCCTTACAAATACAGAACATGTCTCACAGCAGCTTTCACAAAGGATCACTTAAATGATTCATGCAGCTTTAATAACTGCCTGCCAAAATGGGTATTTTGATGGTTAATGAAGCTAATGCACAGGACAAATAATCTATATAAAGCTTCGCAGATGAGAGGAAAACCAGAATCTGCTCTGCGCATGCGTCGCTAGAGGATACAGAAAAAGAAAAAAGTGAGTGGGGGTGGGGGGTTGTCACGTGATATATTTTCTTCTTTCTTTTCGTTTCTTTTTTTTCTTTTTTTTTTTGGCCAGGGGTTGTTATCTGGATCCCGTGCGTGAAAAGAACCGAGACACAGGAAGGAGCAGACAGACACACACACGAAAAGTTCCTGTGTTGTGTTTCAAGCTCCAAACAGAAACAAAATGCATGACGATAAAGCAACGTAACAAATGCCCCGGGAGCACCGAGTGCAGCTTTTATTTTATTTTATTTTTTTTTATGAACGCGCCGCATTATTTACCAGCAATTCAATAATGTGTCAGTGAGCATGCGCTGTTCTCCTTCCGACACAAAGTATGACAATTTGTGAATAATAACGAAAACATAGCCTGACACAGTGACAGGAGGCTGTCGATATGTGACATGTAAAAATAAAACAACACACCGAGAATGTCCTCGGAAGTGTAGTTAACATGTAACTAGCTAAATTGGCGCTATTTGTTTCAAACGCCGGTTTGATGCTGACACTCACCACGGTTACCGGAGACACCATATTTCTCTCTTGGCGCCGTCCTTGTCGAGATAAGAGATTAAACACCTAAAACTGCTGCGGGTCCTCGTGTTTGTATTGCTCTGGCAGACGGACGCCGATTGTTTTTGTCCTCGATCCCGTAGGCGGTGCCAGCGTCCGGTAGGCGGTGACAGTCGAGCAGGAACGTGAGCAGCCCTACGATCTTAGCCAATAGGAGCAGAGATGGGAGGTAAAGAGGGCGGGGTCAAGTTGTAAGATACGCCCTGATAGGTGGAGCCAACCTGCTGTTTACATATCGAAGCAGATGGCCTTTATTTACATTKCAGAAAAATTGAGCTCTTCGGTATCAGGGGTCGAGTTTATCGTTTATGGATTAAGTTGAATCAGAGGACTGGTTTCAAGCAAAAAAGCCTACAGCTTTGTTTAAAACCTACAGAAAGCATACATTTGAGCTGTTAATCTTGATTTTTTTTACATTATAAAGTTTAATATAGAGCTGTAGACCCCAACTACTCATTAAAAAGGCACACTTGTATTCCATTGTGTCTGCAACAGCTACAAAAATAAATAAGTAGCTAAATAAATAAAAATGAAAATAAAAATAAAAAGATTTCCATGAAGCTTGATATCTCATACCAAATATATATAAATACTTTTGCAGACCTATTTGAGTCTTTTCCATATCTGTGGCAGGAAACTTCTATTTTTATTACCATTTTAACAAAGGACAACTGTTACATCTAATTAAGTGGTGTTCTTAGAATGAATAAACTTGGAATTTGTATTATTTTTTATTGTTTTCCTACTGTCTGCCTGATATATTTTTAAAATTATATCT